TTTACTGAGCAACGTCACGTTAGCTCGAAGCTAGCTTGTCTTCTATAGCTCAGACAGGAAGTCGAGTATGTTGCTAACGGCTAACAGCCGGGTTAGCATGCCGTTTATACTGTTAGTGTATGCAGTACCTCTGTGTGGGGTTTCAGACACAGCTTGGCATTCAACAGGAAGTGATGTCATGACATGTTGTTATGTTACACACAGGTGAGTGGCTGTTCTTCATTTTGATTGGATGAAAAAGGGGGGCAATATAGTGAATGCTGAACTTAACCTAAACTACTCTGATCTACACCTGGACTCTACCTGGACTACACCTGGACTACACCTGGACTCTACCTGGACTACACCTGGACTCTACCTTGACTACACCTGGACTCTACCTGGACTACACCTGGACTCTACCTTGACTACACCTGGACTCTACCTGGACTACACCTGGACTCTACCTTGACTACACCTTAACAACATCTGGCCTACACCTAAACTGCTCCTGGACTACAGCTGGACTGCACCTAAACTGCTCCTGGACTACAGCTGGACTACACCTAAACTGCTCCTGGACTACACCTAAACTACACCTGGACTACACCTAAACTGCTCCTGGACTACAGCTGGACTGCACCTAAACTGCTCCTGGACTTTCACCTAAACTGCTCCTGGACTACAGCTGGACTACACCTAAACTGCTCCTGGACTACAGCTGGACTACACCTAAACTGCTCCTGGACTACAGCTGGACTACACCTAAACTGCTCCTGGACTACAGCTGGACTACACCTAAACTGCTCCTGGACTACAGCTAAACTGCTCCTGGACTACAGCTGGACTGCACCTAAACTGCTCCTGGTCTACAGCTGGACTACACCTAAACTGCTCCTGGACTACAGCTGGACTACACCTAAACTGCTCCTGGACTACACCTAAACTGCTCCTGGACTACAGCTGGACTACACCTAAACTGCTCCTGGACTACACCTAAACTGCTCCTGGACTACAGCTAAACTGCTCCTGGACTACAGCTGGACTGCACCTAAACTGCTCCTGGTCTACAGCTGGACTACACCTAAACTGCTCCTGGACTACAGCTGGACTACACCTAAACTGCTCCTGGACTACAGCTGGACTGCACCTAAACTGCTCCTGGTCTACAGCTGGACTACACCTAAACTGCTCCTGGACTACAGCTGGACTACACCTAAACTGCTCCTGGACTACAGCTAAACTGCTCCTGGACTACACCTAAACTGCTCCTGGACTACAGCTGGGCTACACCTAAACTGCTCCTGGACTACACCTAAACTGCTCCTGGACTACACCTGGACTGCACCTAAACTGCTCCTGGACTACACCTGGACTGCACCTAAACTGCTCCTGGACTACACCTAAACTGCTCCTGGACTACACCTGGACTGCACCTAAACTGCTCCTGGACTACAGCTGGACTACACCTAAACTGCTCCTGGACTACAGCTGGACTACACCTAAACTGCTCCTGGACTACAGCTGGACTACACCTAAACTGCTCCTGGACTACAGCTGGACTGCACCTAAACTGCTCCTGGACTACACCTAAACTGCTCCTGGACTACACCTGGACTACACCTAAACTGCTCCTGGACTACAGCTGGACTGCACCTAAACTGCTCCTGGACTACACCTAAACTGCTCCTGGACTACAGCTGGACTACACCTGGACTACACCTAAACTGCTCCTGGACTACACCTGGACAACACCTAAACTGCTCCTGGACTACACCTAAACTGCTCCTGGACTACACCTGGACTGCACCTAAACTGCTCCTGGACTACACCTGGACTGCACCTAAACTGCTCCTGGACTACACCTGGACTGCACCTAAACTGCTCCTGGACTACAGCTGGACTACATCTAAACTGCTCCTGGACTACAGCTGGACTACATCTAAACTGCTCCTGGACTACACCTGGACTGCACCTAAACTGCTCCTGGACTACACCTGGACTGCACCTAAACTGCTCCTGGACTACACCTGGACTGCACCTAAACTGCTCCTGGACTACAGCTGGACTACATCTAAACTGCTCCTGGACTACAGCTGGACTACATCTAAACTGCTCCTCCTTTCATTGGGCAAGAGGCTAGGTGCACCCTGGACTGGAAGCTAGACCACAGCTGGAATAAAACTTAACTACATGTAGACTGAATCTGTGCTGGTTTTCACCTGGAGACCCTGGACCCATAGAGACCCTCATTCTGGATCTGATCAGTTACAGCAGATCCAGACCTATGAAGGAACAACAGGTGTGTCAGATAGTGGGAGTGGCTTGTCAAGCAGTGTGGAGGGCTTGTCAATTGTTGGAGGGGCTTTGGTGTAGTGGGAGGGGCTTGGCAGTAGCAGGAGGGGCTTGGTAGTCGTGGGAGGGGCTTGTTACCTTTGATATTGTTGTAATTGTTGCATCGGCAGGACAGCCGGGTCAGAACCAATCCGAGCAGCAAAACCAATAACACAGAGAGACCTCTGCAGAGACAAATACAACCAACAATGTCAGTTAACCTTCACCTTAAGTCACAGATTTATTCAATTAGTTGCTATGGTAACGACCCATAACAACTCATAGAAGCTTAAAAAACAGCTGATCCTCACATGATAGGAAGGAGGATCCTCTTGTTCAAGGTGGAGGCTGAGGACGAGAAAATCAACGATATCATCAAACAAGCAGAACTCAACAGGTCATCAATAGGAAGTGACATATGCGACAGGTGAGTTTACCTGCAGGTTCAGGAGGTCTGCACGATGGAGTGGCCACAGCAGCGCTCTTGTTTCGACACACAGAATCAGCGAACGCCGAACACCCGATCACAGTTTCCTGATCAGCCGCTGCGCGACACAAGATCAATCGATCAGCTTTAAAAGAAAGCGGTAAACTCTGACGAGGCAGCGGTGATCTATAACACCTGTACATTACCTGCCGATGACATCATCAATATACAAAATGAGCAAATGAACACCTGCTCAGGTGTGTTTACCTGAGCAGTTTGTACATGGAGCACACTGTGTTCCAATTGACTTCATGTTAAGGATCGTACAGTTCTGCCTCACAAAGTTACCTGCACACACACACACACACACACACACACGCACACACTCGGTCACAGTCATCACTTTTGTTCCAGGTTTTACACCCTGACGGAGGTTCGTCTGATCGGTTTGTTACCTTGTGGACACAGTTGGCAGTTTGGCACGATCCACACCACCACATGGGCAGTGACAGGGTGAAAGTTCATCTTCAGCAGCAGACATGCCAGGCTCACCTGGAACCCAAACACAGACAGGTGTCAGATCCTGGTCCCTGTTAGTCTGACCCTGCAGCCTTAAAACTGTTTGATCTGTTTCCTAGCAACAGATTTCTCTGACCCTTTACCTGTATAACTGAGGAAACCTGCCCCTCCACACACAGACAGACAGACACACACACACAACACCACACACACACACACACACACCTACTTCGCTGTACGACACAGCGTCAGGCTTTCCTGAACAGATTGGTTCTCTACAACAACCTGATTACTTCAGATTAGCACACCTTAATTAAATGAAATCAACAATTCAACACAAAATATTGATTTTAAAAATGATCAGTTTCTTCTGATTTGTGAAGTTAGGAGCCATCAGTAGAAGTAGAAGAGTTAGAGCTGTTGTCCATAGCAACAGTTAGCTCTGGAGCCTTCTAAAAACCAGATAAACTAGCTTTCATAACTCACATTAAACTGAGAGAGAGAGTTAAGGAAAAAAAAAAGAAGCTGCACTCACCTGAAGTGTGTCCATGTCGTCCTCACAACCTCACCAATCACACTGATCGAGAATCTCCACTCACAAGAGGCTTTTTAAGTGAACAAGCTGCCGGAAGTGGGCGGAGCCTAGGCTCACAAAGTCTCCACCTTCCGTCTGCTTAGTTTCACCCTCTGACGTCTCAGATGTTGTCTTTTCCATGGTAATGGTGTAAACAGAAAGTGCTAACAGAAACCAGGTGTGACCGATAGGGGCCGTCTGTAAAGTAAGATAAGAAGGGTTCTTGGAAGTTAAGTTAGGGACCGTCTGTAAAAAGTAAGGTAAGAAGGGTTCTTTGAAGTTAAGTTAGGGACCGTCTGTAAAAAGTAAGGTAAGAAGGGTTCTTTGAAGTTAAGTTAGGGACCGTCTGTAAAAAGTAAGATAAGAAGGGTTCTTGGAAGTTAAGTTAGGGACCGTCTGTAAAAAGTAAGATAAGAAGGGTTCTTGGAAGTTAAGTTAGGGGCCGTCTGTAAAAAGTAAGGTAAGAAGGGTTCTTTGAAGTTAAGTTAGGGACCGTCTGTAAAAAGTAAGGTAAGAAGGGTTCTTTGAAGTTAAGTTAGGGACCGTCTGTAAAAAGTAAGATAAGAAGGGTTCTTGGAAGTTAAGTTAGGGACCGTCTGTAAAAAGTAAGGTAAGAAGGGTTCTTGGAAGTTAAGTTAGGGGCCGTCTGTAAAAAGTAAGGTAAGAAGGGTTCTTTCAAGTTAAGTTAGGGGCTGTCTGAAAAGTAAGATAAGAAGGGTTCTTTGAAGTTAAGTTAGGGACCGTCTGTAAAAAGTAAGATAAGAAGGGTTCTTTGAAGTTAAGTTAGGGACCGTCTGTAAAAAGTAAGATAAGAAGGGTTCTTGGAAGTTAAGTTAGGGGCCGTCTGTAAAAAGTAAGGTAAGAAGGGTTCTTGGAAGTTAAGTTAGGGCCGTCTGTAAAAAGTAAGGTAAGAAGGGTTCTTGGAAGTTAAGTTAGGGGCCGTCTGTAAAAAGTAAGATAAGAAGGGTTCTTTGAAGTTAAGTTAGGGGCCGTCTGTAAAAAGTAAGATAAGAAGGGTTCTTTGAATTTAAGTTAGGGGCCGCCTGTAAAGTAAGATAAGAAGGGTTCTTTGAATTTAAGTTAGGGGCCGCCTGTAAAGTAAGATAAGAAGGGTTCTTTGAATTTAAGTTAGGGGCCGCCTGTAAAGTAAGATAAGAAGGGTTCTTTGAATTTAAGTTAGGGGCCAACTGTAAAAAGTAGGCACCTTCTGTAAAGTGAAATTAGGGGCTGTGTCTGAGGAAAAGTAAGGGTCCAGCTGAACAGAAAAGTTAGGGGCCGTCTGTCAAGTAACATAATGGGACGCCTGTGAAGTTTAGATAGGGGCCATCCTTAAAGTAAATAAAAAAAAGGTAAGTAAAGCCAAGTAAAGGGCATTTTGTAAAGTTAGGATAGCAAAATCAAGGGTTGTCTGTAAAAGAAGTAGGCGCCATCAGTAAAGGGGAGGTGGGGCTGTCCATAAAATAAACCGAGGATCAGTCAGTGACGTAAAGTTAGGGCCGTCATTAAAGTAGTTCACCATAAAGAGAACTTTGATGGATTTACATGACACCCCCCCCCCCCCCCCCCAGAGTAATCTGATTAAAGACTTCAACCTTTAAACTGACTGATACTGATGCTAACACTGACTGATACTGATGCTAACACTGACTGATACTGATGCTAACACTGACTGATACTGATGCTAACACTGACTGATACTGATGCTATTGTCTGCTCTAGTGTTATTGACGTCACATTTTCGTCTAGGCAGATGTGATTGAGCAAAACAGATGTGTGTGATGTTGAATCATGTCTCCTCATGAGTATTCATCTGATGTATAAACTTTCATCAACGTAAGCCATCTGAGTCAACTGAGTCTTAATGTGTGGAGTCAAGTCTTAGTCATTTCTTCAACAATTTGGCGTCATGAAACAGGATATCTACAAACACAGACTGGTAAGTGCAAACTATTTTTAGTCTTTGCTACTGCCATGTCTGAGTTTGACGATACCTAAAGAAACTGTAATTCGGCTGAAATTATTGTAAGCTTGACAACATGCTGTTGAATAATATTTGCATATAATACAAATTGAATAAATGATTGAGAATCATTGATTGCTTGTATTTGCAAATTGGTGAGAGTTGGGCTGTCGAGCATCCTGCGGGGGTGTCTCGGAGGTCTGAGCCAGCTGTGACTTGACACAGATAAGATCAAACTGTGAACTTATATCCTAGGGGAGATGTCCCGGGGTGGATTGTTAAGAATTAATTTTGATATAGGTAAGACCAGTAGGTGAATCTGTGTCCGGCGGGACGTAAGACTCTGTGGTCATAGGGACGTCAGAGCGATAACAGTCACTATCAAACCTCTGCAGATGATACAAAATGGAGCAGCACGACTGGTCTTCAACCTTCCTAAAAGAGCACATGTCACTCCGCTGTTCATCTCCTCACACTGGCTCCCAGTTACTGCTCACATCAAATTTAAAACTCTGCTGCTCGCTGACAAAACAGACACAGGAACGTCTCCTCCTTACTTTAACTCTCTGATCCAGGTCTACACTCCCCCCCCCCTCTACGCTCTGCCAATGAAAGGTGTCTGATCCAACCTTCACAACAGGGTCCTAAGTCTCTGACTCGACTCTTCTCCTCTGTCGCCCCCCGGTGGTGGAATGAACTTCCAAACTCCATGTGATCTGCAGAGTCCCTCTGCACCTTTAAGAAAAAGCTAAAGACCCAGCTCTTTCATGAATACCTACTAACTTAATGATGATGGTCTCCATATTATTGATGATGATGATGGTAATGACGATGGTTTTTGTTTGATAACGACGACTTATAAGATGGTTTCTATACTGATTAGAGCTCTCAAGAACTGCCCTCAATGTTGTGCTTTGCCTCTGGTCACTTCCTGTCAGCACCTGTGTGTCCAATCAGACTCAAAGCTGATCGTTTGCTCTTACTCACATTGTTCCCTTTTTTCTAGATCCTTGCTTGTGTTGTTCTTACTCTCTGATGTACGTCGCTTTGGATAAAAGTGTCTGCTAAGTGAATTGTAGAATTGATTGTATGTGCCTGTTGCTGCTGGTTTTGTTTAATGCTATAATTGCTTTATGCACGATGGGGAATCATCAGTCCACAATAGCGAATAAAACTGAATCTCAAAACAAACATGTGAAAAGTAAAGATAAACAAAAACACATAGAACATCCACACACACAATGCTGCTACAGATAAAAGCACATCACCCTTAGGTGGAACACATACAGACATTTCAGTCAGATACACCCTTCTGATATGCCTGCAGGAGTTGTAGGAAGAGAGAAAGGTTGGAAGTATGTGTCACCGTTTTCATCTCTCATGTGTGAATGGACAAAGTTAGAATGGAACGAGAAAATATTAAGTTAGCAGTTAATGTTATTCCATTTCACGGTAATCCAAGCTGGGATTGTTCGTCAGAAAAGAGAGAACAGGGCAGGCTGACAGTCACACACACTCAGTAAGAAAGAGGTGGAGTTACTCTCACAGACACACAGAGCACCCAGAAGTGAAGCATTCTCACTCAAACAGGAGAGAGAAAGGCTCTGAACAGACAGTGCTCGTGTTAACACAGATTGTTATGATTTGGTCTTATTTTGTTTTTATTTTGGTCTATGACAGAGTTTAGGTTTCTTTGTTTTAAAGACTATCTATCCCAGTGTTGTTTGGTTAAATGTAATGTTTTTTGTCTTAAAGTTCCTAGTTTAGTCTTTCGTATTTCATGTTTTTATTTTGGAAAGTTTCTCTTTTGTAAGGAGTATTGTTAAATTCTTGAGTTCTTTGTGTCTTTAGTGTTTTGTGATTCATATTGTAGTTCTTGTCCAAGTGTGTCTTATCTTGTATTGTCTTCATTTCTGTATGTTTTCCCTCCAGTCTTGATTGCCCTCATTGTCTTTCCCTGTGTTTGTTTACCCCATGGTTATTTAGTCTCAGTGTTCTTTCCCTCTTAGTTGTTAGATGTTGGATGTCGGTGTCAGTGTTTCCCAGTACATACCAGTTTTTGACTTTTTATGAATTTTCTCAGTTTGAACTTTTGTTAAGATAGAAAGTTTTGATTTACTTTTGTTTAAAAGTCAAATTACGTTGTTTTTTGGGAATTTTCAGAGAATCTGAAACACTCTCTCATGTTGTTAAACTCGAAGCTAATGCAAAACTATCAAATATTAGGCAATACATTCTGCCTCAAAGAAATCAATTACAGGAATCGATGCTGTAGTTCAATCCCTTTTGATAAAGGTTTGATGGTTGAAACTATCAGCCCATGTAACACTCCCATCTTGCCAAACCCAAAGCCAGGCTGCCCTGTTGAATTCAGGTTTGTGCAGCTCTCAGAGTTATAAATAACATTGTTGTGCTTTCAGTGGAGATTTAATCGGATGCAAACTCCATTCTGGCAGCAATGCGTGCAGATTCAAAGTACAATACAGTCATTGATGTAAACTGAGACTTTCCTCCATTCCTCTGCATCCAGATAGCCAGTATCTGTTTGTTTTTAAATTCAAAGGCCGAAAGCTGACATGCACCAGGCTTCCACTGGGATTTTCGGAATCACTGGTTAATTTATGCACTTTGTGTCATGCGTGATTTGGAACTATCTGGTGGAAGCACCTTGTTGCAGTATGCTGATGATTTGTTGATCGTTTCACCTTCGAGAGAGGACGGCCAAATTGACTCTGTGTTGCTGATGGAAAGACTGGCTGAGTGTGGTCACAGAGCTTCTCTGACCAAAGTGCAGTACTGTCAGCCTCAGGTTAAATACCTGGGACATGTGTTACGCTGCTGTCCCCTGAGAGAGTCAACCTCCTTGCAAACATGTCCCCTCCGAGGACCAAGAAAGACCTGCTATCTTTTCTGGGAATGACAAATTACTGTCGTCATTGGATTTTTGAGTATGCTGGAATGGACTCTGTGTGGAGGTCTTCCACGGGACATGCTGCACCCTCTGTTGTGCAATGGAATGAAAACATGTACTCAGCCTTTCCGAGATACACACAGCTGTGAGAAGGAAGGATATGCTTCTGGTGTTTTTGGTGCAAAAGCATGGATCAAGTTTTT